TCAAGTCTGTATCTGACAGTGATAATGTCAGTTATCTGTAAGAGTGTAAAAAGCTTGTCTAGAACAGCCTGCATTGTTCCATAAGAGGTTTGGGCAGTTTGACAATCTTAATGTACCGTATGTTTTATCAGGGAAGGTGAGCAGTGTTTGAAAATGGACATCAGCAGCACTGGTCTCAAACTCCAAGTGATATTTGAGACGTAAGGCATTTTAAGCATGTCAGACCAATAATATCAAGAGTCTACATTTCAGGATGAATCTTACCCATGCCAGTACCTTGTCCCTGAGAATTCTTTTTATCTATCGTGGTGACCTCTTCCTAGGAGATGGACCCACAACTGTTGAGAGCAACATGTCATATCTGTCTCTCCTGACTGACAAAATGGATTTACAGAATCATTTAAACTCCCCCAATTCACATTTTTATAAAACCTCCATCATATCCAGAGTTTCGCTTCTGCTTCCACTGCAGTTGTTGCCTTTCTGTCCTGTTGTTTGTGTTGCAGAATAGTATCTATGCCAAACACTATGGACTTTATTATAGACCTGTGTTACTTTTTTGAAATTTGGATTGTTACACACTCCAGTAATGCTTCTTGTGTGATAAAGCACAGATGACCTTCTGCACTGCTTGATGCTAACAGACGTTTTTGTGCCCATCTGATAAATTGCATTAACTGTACTCAAAGTACCTCTGAATCATGCAATAGGTTACAGGACAGATGATCCCTGTCAACATCAGTATAAATAGTTATGCATAAAAGTGAACTTCACTGTATATGAGCAGAGACAAAACCCAAGTGCTCTGTGTACTGTTTCCCTTGTATGCCAAATTTTAAAGTAATGTAAGTCTATAAATAAAGTGCATGGCCCAGTGTACAGATGAGCACAAAAAGTCAACTCAGACATTAATTATGTTTTTATACACTTTACAACAGCATGCAGATATAGTACATATTGTAGATATATACTTGCAGATAGGCTATCAACAAAAGGAAAATCACTTTTTCTGCTTCCAAAATGGATTAAAATTTATATCATCTACAAAAACAACAAATTGATCATTTATAACAACATGTGTGTAGAAGTTTTTAGATATTTTTGGGAGGTCAAGAGTATGGAAAGTTTCCTCTCGCATTAATGTAAAAAGTGTTTTAGAGCTGGTTGTCTTTTCTGACTGCACATGACAGGCAGAAGATTGTTTCAATAGATAAGAAGGCAGCCAGCAAGTCAATGAGGATGTGCCAAAAGTTTGCAACTGCGCCACTTACCCTGAACCATTAAACCCCAGAGAATAGTTACAATTCCAAAAAATTTCCAAAAACTACGCGCTGCCATCATGTTCCAAGAGCCCTCCACTGCCCAACACTGCACTATTTTTAAATTTAAAGTTTGAGAGAGAGAGAGAGAGAGAGAGAGAGAGAGCGAGAGAGAGGGAGAGTAAATACAGAGAGGAAGAGCCCTAAATCCCCCCCATCAAACCCCCTGACTGTCGCCCACCCCGGCTGTCGCTGTCCATGGCTCAGGTTACACAGCAGCTGGGAAGCACTAAACCAGGACACAAGTCACACTCTGGTCACCCACAATAATCATCATCATGATCATTAGATGACAACTATCTGTGGTGAAGCCACTCATATTCCATTCAGATATTTGTGTAGAAAAAATGTGTGTATGTGTGGGTGCATGTGCGTGTCCGTGTGTGTGGTGTGTGTGTGTGTGTGTGTGTGTGTGTGTGTGTGTGTGTGTGTGTGTGTGTGTGAAGCAGGATTCATATACCCATGGGTGCAGTGAGGTGAACAGGTGACAGGCTACGCAGACCTGCTCTGCCACTGCTATGTGTTCACGGTGTTAATACAAACTGCAGAGCTTTACTTCAACAGCAGGACCCTAGCAATGAGGGAGTGTCTGCAGACTTCAGCGCGGTGGGGTTAAAGGGCTGGAGACAGACATTACACATAAAACCTATAAAACCATGGAGGCAGACACTCAGATCTGCATCATAATCATCTGACCTTTTTTTTATTTCCAACAGATCATGCTGTAAAGGTAACTTCAAAAACTCCAAACCAGACTGTCAAGACATTTTACTCATTTCAAATCCAGAGACTAAATTAGCTATTATAATTAGTACTGTGAGTAATATAAGTAGTGTCGCTCTGCAGTGTCAAGGGCAACAGACTGATTTTTGGAATGTGCCATGTGAGTTGCACAGTATGTGATGTACTTCTAAATATACAGTTAGGGAAACAGAGATGAGCTTCTTTAAGGTAACTAGAGCCTCCAGAAGGCAGATTATGTGTCTCACACTAAGTTGGCGCTCAGGGACAGAAGAAGGGCTGGGTCTGTCCAGCTTCTAACCCAAGTTCACAGAGCATAGCTGCAGTATACAGCTTTATCAAAACAATATGTTTTTTTTTTTATTATTATTATTTAGTTTATAGCATGGCAAATTAAAGATCAGAGGGGCAAGATTATTTTTTTGGACATTTTAAAATAAGGGAACCTTCCAGCAATGTTCAGTTTGGGTTGTTTACATTTCCCCCACTACAACCAGTCTGAGTGCAATCCAGTGTTTGCTTTTCTTGCTTCTTCTATTCAAGTGAAACCAAGAATTTTGTCTCAACTCCACCCAATTATATTCAGCAACTTTGTAAAATAATTGCCGTGGAGGCCAGTCAGTGCAAAATGTCAGACAGGCGTGTGTAACTGTTTTTTAAAAAAAAATATATAACTGGTGTTATAAATATAGCCACATTCAGTGAAGCAGGGGGTTCAAATCATGGTGGAGTTAATGCGGTTGGACAACAGTGCAGTGAAAACAGTTTTTGAATAGGCAGTGTCTGTTGTGTATGCAACAGTTAAAGCCATGTCAGTCTTTAAATGTATATTAAACCTCCAGTGGATTTACATGACTTTTTGAATGCTTGTTGCAAATGGAAAGTTGCAACTTCAGACCAGGATTATACCTAAGGCAACAAACCATAAGGGGTCACACCCACGAGAATCAACAACGGCACTGTTTTTTCACAAAACATTTGCTTTTTGAATGCCAACATTATTGTCATTCATCTGGCTGATGATGTTTGTTATATGTAAATTTGAACTTTACACCTTTGTTGAAACCTATTAACATCTTTTAACGAATGACCAAACTGGATTATATACTGTGGATAAATGCTTCTAGTCTCCAGATGTGTTTCACTTTAGTGCACAGTGGAAAATCCAGTGTGGTGGTATTTGACAGTGACAAAAATCCTCTTTCCTGCTCTCCTGAACCCCCACACATAAACATATTCACACAGTGTGAGTTCACACCATGTGTTTTAGTCTAGCTTTAAGGTTCAGCAGTAGACTGCTATTCGCCACAGACAAACATAAAACTTTGAGAATTGTAATAATTTGGAAATGTTTGTTATTGCATGAGAACATTTCATTTGAGAGCACTAACTGTGTGGAGTGAAACAGTTCAGGTTTTCTGAAAGGGTCACATGTTTTCACAGGGATTCAGTCTCTCCTTGTCCGTTGCTGCCTATTCCAGACAGGATCATCCATTGGTTGCACAGAATAAAAGCCCCATGACCGGCCCCTCCCAGCCAAGTAATGAATGCCCCTGCTTTCACTTTTTTCCCGCTCCTCTGCTGAAAAATACCATTGTTAAGTCTCTCTTCATGAGCACACATGTGGTTTGGCTCGAGTGTGGAGTTCAATGTCTGTTCACCTCCCCCCACAGCAGCAGCAGGAGCAGCAAATCCACTGATAGGGACCAATCACTTAGTCTCCCATGATTATCACTACCAGAGGTGATAATCATGGGAACACCCTTCACGCACCACGTCACTCCTCCTGTTTTACTGACATATCTCAGACTTTAGACTTCAGAAATTGAATTGAATTAATAAATAACTAATAACTAACTAACTAAAAATCTAAAATGATATATTATAAAATGTTAATGACCTTTTGTGGCAGATATGGTCACAAGGGAAAGGAAATTTAATTTTTTAAGTATATTTTTTCCTAAATAGATTCATTTTTGTTTGCTCCCAATATGTTTTTGCAGAGCAACAGACATCTTTGTCATATCATGAATGGACTTTCTTTGTTCGCATTGCTGTGTCAGCTAGGATAAGCTTGGTTAGACTTTGTTATTCATTGACAAACATGGATTTGGTATTACATCTCTCGTGTTCAGCCACTAAAAGGAGATTTTGTTGTCCCACAGATGAATCAATACAGAGGTTTACCCGAGGTTGTCATGGCTTTAACACAGTAAGATAGATAGTTAGATAAATATAGGGAAAACATTCTGTTTACACTGAGAGAGTGTCCCGAGACACCTATGTTTCACGTCATACTTTTATTTAAACCAGTATGTTTTCAGGAATGTGTGTCTGTGCTGTTGTAATATGTGGCGGTTGTGGCGGTGTGGTGGTGGTGGTGGTGTAAAGATGTGTGTGATTGAGTAGAGAGAGAGCAAGAGAGAGAGAGAGAGAGGAGTGACGACAAAGGGTGGTGGTGGGAGGAGAGGAGAGGAGAGGGAGCAGGCGTTTACTCAAGCTGGCCAGGAATATAGTGCATACATACAAGATGAATCTGGAGGAAAGGGGTTACTGGCGGACAAGCTACGTGGGCTCTGCTTTATCAGCCAGGGGCTGGACTTGATTTGATCTCTGGACCTTCATATTGAGCAACACAACAAGAGACCGGCAGCTCCAGAATCAGTTAGTTAGAAACAAAGGCAGGGTAGAAGGAGGACGTGAACCAAAGAAAGTCAGAGAAAAACAAAAAAGAAACAGCAACAACAGGCTGAGTTGTAATAGCGTGACAAGGGAAAGCAGCAGTTGTAAAACAGAGTTAAACATTAATTCAAGCTCTTTTAGGTACAATGGTGGACAGATTTCTTCACTGGATGTTTTGGGGAGTTGTATGAAAGATTTGAGAGGACAGGGGGTGGGGGGAGGGGGGGTCAGAGGCAAGGGTCTGGTAGAGAGTAATTGTGGTGACAGCCAGTGCAAGGGGACAAGGACTCATGTGAGACACAGAGGAATTAAAAGATAAAAGACACAGACTAAGAACACAGAGACACTGGCAGACCCCAAAACTGGACTTCAGTATGGGTGTAAAGAGCAAGGCTGCTGCAGCTATCTTAATCCTGCTGCTGTTCCTCGGCTCCCTGTGGCTCCGTGAGTATTTCTGTGTATGTGTTTATGTCTGTGTGTGTGCATGTGTGTGTGTGTGTGTTTGTGTGTCTATCTATGTGGTTGTGTGTGTGGTTTCTATGTTGTACTATTAATCAATGAAATCCCTCCCTTGTTTGGAATGCATAGGCTCAAGATCAGGAATGTATCACATGGTGCGGTGGCAACAGAGTTAAGCGTGGTGGTCACACCGCTTTTTGCTGACTCTTTATGCTCAAAAATATTTCAACAACAACAACTTTTTATCATGATCTTCTTTTGTTCTTGGGTTGAATGGCATCCATAACTTCACCATATCTTTCTGTCTTATTGTAGGGATCCTGGTGTATTTAAGTAGTAAAAAGTGGTTGACAAATTGTTGAGTTTTTTGATCCACAAGTCAACAAGAAATAAACCTATATACAGTATATTTGAAAACAATTCCAGAGAGGCAATTTCAAAGTAATCATTGTAGAAATGTTCAAACTGGGACCATGTGATCTCTTTCTCCAGCTTGGATTAAATTCAAAGTGCTGCAAGATTTGAGAGAATTTAGTCAGATGACAAAGTGCAAAGTGAGCAGAAAGCATAAAATGCCATTTCTACATCCTCATAGTAACTACTTTAGGAAACTTAAATTTAGACATGGCTCATAGTACGTAGTGGCAGGACTTCACATCTCTATTGACACTTCTGGCAACATCTACAGTAGGTCACTGTCAAGTTAGAAATAAATTTCTGGCATTTGACAGGCTCAGTGACTTAAGCACTGGGCGCTACAGTCAACTACCAAAATTATACATTTTATCACTGGAAGCTTTTATGGCTTTTGGTTGTACGTTGGTCAGATATAATGTGTGGTCTGGAGAACTGCAGGAGGTCCCAAATAAAACAGAGGAATAGTTTGATTTCAGTAAGCTGACTTGACTTAGCTGTATAGCAGTGTAAAGGGCTTTCATTTAATAGTTACATTCATAACAGCAACTTCTGTTGCTATATAGGCTCGTACATGAATACATGAATTTCCCCTAGGGGATAAATAAAGTATCTATCTATCTATCTATCTATCTATCTATCTATCTATCTAGTTAGTATAATAATGGTGTGTGGATGGATCTTGTGGCACTAGGGAAGACGGTCATTAGAG